ATGCTCACAAGCCATTAATTCTGCACCGAAGGAATTTTCTAAAAAGCCTTTCCCCCAACTTTTTTTTTCTAATCCTAAAAATAAAATTAAAAAAAAAATTTTAAAGGAGAAGTACACCGTCAGCCGCTGCGGATGATCTGTGCCCAGATGGGGAAGCTGACTCTCCAACTGCCCGGGAGATCACAAGGCTGCAGAGACCCCAGGAGCGGAAGCCTGGCCGGAGACGCCCCCTTTGGGGGAGGGGGCCGGGGCGGGCGGCAGCTGTCCTGAGCGTGGCCTTAGCCGAACTCCAACTCACTCTCCAGGGGCAGTTAGCTCCACGGGTCCAAAATACCACCCGAGCCCATGCACCGCCCGAGATTCCTCCGTGAGCACCGCCCTCCTCCAAGTCTCAGGAGGCCTGGGCTTTCAAAACCCAGATTCTTCCCCAGGGCAGGGGAGGGCGACTACCCACAGCCCTCCCGTCCCGCGCCCTCTTTCCCAAGAGCAAAGCTGGGCAGCGCCTCCCTGACAGAAACCCAGGCCTTTGTGCTCCAGCCCCGGCCCACTGCCCAGGCCTCCAACCCTACCCGGTTCTTCCCTCCACCCCTCCTCCTGCCACACCCGTCTCTGCAGGTCCTCAAACGCCCCACACAGTCCTGCCCCGGCTCCAGCACCTTTGTAAATGCTGCTCCCCAGCAGCCAATGGCCACTCCACCCCTCTGAGCCACTGGAACTTCCCTGCGCACTTCGTCCCACACTGTTCCCTTTCCAGGAGTGCCTAGACAGCAGTTTCAGATAGCTTTCAAGATGTGGCTTCAAAAAATCCCCCTCTCCCCCTGAGGGCACTGTGCTGGCCATCACTTCCACATTTATCATGGCAGCATATGCGTGAGCTTCTCCAGGGTGGAGACTGCTCTGGAGTGAGTGCTCACTAAAGAAAGGGAACTAAGTTTCACTAAAGTGTGAATGACTGTATTAAGCTGCTTCCTTTGCAAACTGAGTAACTGAGAACAACACGGCCATGCTGGGTGCTGGAGAACTGAGAGGAAAGTGTGGGTCATGTGTATGCCTACTGCATGTTTGGCAACACAGGGGAGGCGGGTATTCAGGCCTAGCAAACACCTGGCTACTAGTTTTGATTCCTCTAAGAACATCATCGGTTTATCCCTCTCTAAAATGAGATGAACAATGGCCGCTGGTTTCAACTCTTTTCTGAGAGTGGGAGGCCCCTCCCTCTCCAGCTGACTGCCTCCTGGGGCCAAAGCTCAGCTCTGCCCACTCTCCCATTACAACTCTGACATATTGATTTTACTACCAACTGTAATTGTGTTGATTTTCTCTCCCCAGGAAGCCAGGTGGAGGGAGAGCTCCAAGAGCCCAGATTCTTGGGCCTCACATCCTGCCCACAGACGCCACAAAGCCTCAGTCCCCCCGCAGGTGGCACTCTGAACAGGATGGGGCAGTAATGGTGGGCACTTTGGCAGGTTGCAGAATCCAGAGGTTCCGTCCAGGTATAGACTACACAACTGCTAGACCGGCTGCTGAGGCTTGTACTTGAGAAGTGAGGGCACCTTCCTGCCTGAAGTTTCTGATTGTTTACAGTCCTGGCAAAGGCAGGTTTCCTTGCCAGGGAGCTGAACGGGCACAATCGCTTTTGGGTATTAAGACTGCAGGTATTAAGACTGCAGCTCACCACACCCTGGCTGGGGCGGGGCTGCCTGGAGCCCCCAACCCCTCTTGAGGCTGGGTCTCCTCCCACATACGTTCCGCAGCTACAGGGAGCTCTTAAAACTGCAACGCGTGCATGCGACATGGCATGCTGAGAAAGAAAGGGGACATTTGCAGAGTAGAGAACCAGTGGTGGTTTCTTAGTTTTGACAACTGTACCATGGTTATGGTGGGATGTTAACAAAGGAAGAAACTGGGGAAAGGTATATAGGAAGTGTCTGAACTGTTTTTATAACTTTTTGTGAATCTACAACTATTCCAAAGGTAAAAGTTTATTTTTTAAAAACCCTGTAAAGGCCGGGCATGGTGACTCACGCCTATAATCCTAGCACTCTGGGAGGCCGAGGCGGGAGGATTGCTTGAGCTTAGGAGTTCTAGAGCAGCCTGAGCAAGAGTGAGACCCCAACTCTACTAAAAATAGAAAAAACTAGCTAGGCATGGTAGCACACGTCTGTAGTCCCAGCTACTTGGGAGGCTGAGGCAGGAGGATCGCTTGAGTCCAGGAGTTGGAGGTTGCTGTGGGCTAGGCTGATGCCACGGTACTCTTGCCCAGCTGACAGAGCAAGAATTGGTCTCAAAAAAAAAACACAAAAGAAAAAAAAAGAAACCTTGTAAAGCAAGTCATGTCCCCTCTGCAGCTGAACAGTCTTCAATGGCTCCCTAGTGCTCTCAACATAAACCCAAATTTTGCCCCTGGGCCCTCAGGGGCTGCTGCAACAGGCCCTGACCGCTGTGGCCTCTCTCCACCCCTGCTGCAGCCAACTCCTCCCTCGCTTGGACAGCCCGGCGGAGCCAGTGTCTCCTGGGCTCCCTGAGTGGGGCAACTTGCATTTGCTCAGCCGTTGCCCTTGAAGCCCAGTCCCGTGTCCGGTCTCAGGAGCACAGCCGGAGAGCGCACGCCTGGCCTGCCCAGGCCAGGCCGCAGCCACGCCTGAAGCTCCCAGAGCCCCGCTGCTGCCCACACTTCCGCACGCGCCTCGGAGCTCCACCCGCTGACGCCGCCACTGAGGGTAAACCGAGGCGTGGAGCGAGCCAGGGGCCCACCATGTGCCAGCCCTGGGAGGGGGCAGTGTGGCCTTGGTTCTGGGTGGCCTCGGCGACAGCCCCCATGCCAGGAAGGAAACTGCCTGCCGCTGAGAAAGGAAATACCCGAGCCTCCCAGGGGCTGCCCAAGACGCTTCCTGGAGGGCGGCATGGCCACACAGGCCAAAGAGCAGCAGTCAGGAGGCCTGGCCCTGAGCCACACAGGAAAAGCAGCATGGAGGAGCCCTCTGGGGAAACAAAGGCACGGAAGGGGCAGAGGCTTCCTCAGAACACACAGGGCAGCAATCCCGGCCCCGGCCTCAGGCTGCCTGGACCAGGCAGGATGCACAGACAAATGGCGAAGGCCAGAGCTCTAGCAGACCCTTCCAGAAAGACAGGAAGGACTGCCTCAGTTTCCCTGACCCCTCTGGAGGAGATGGGTCACCCAGCTCCAGGGCTTTGAGGTCATCCAGGACAGCTGAGTGCCATCTGGAAGGGCTATGTGGACCGGCCAGCCAGGCTGCCCTGAGGCCCCCACACTGGGGCTCCAGATCCCAGCCCACCTGCAACAGGCACGGCTGGGGACAAGCCCCAGGCTGAGGCAGAGCCTGGCGGGACAGGGCTCCTGTGTGCACCGTGCACATGCCCTGGGGCAGTGTCTCCACCTCATAGATGAGGAAACTGAGGCCGCGAGGTGCCGCAGCTCATGGCTCTTACCTAGCTGTGGCTGCCCCTTCCCTCTGAACCCGGCCTGCTGGCCTGCAGGACAGGCACAGCACGGGCACCCCATGCAGGGCCGCTGGGAAGGGCTGGGCTCGCAGTGGCTTCAGTACCGAGCACTGCAGGTGCTCCACACATGCTCCCAGCCAGCAGCCTGGGCTACCGGGGACAGGGACAAGCCACTCCACTGTTTCCCGAAGTCAAGCACCGAGGCCCTGACTCACCGCCCTGGCCGGGACCGGTGGTGGGAGCCCGGGCCAAGGCCTGCTCTGCTGGGCTGCCTGGGAACCCCCGCCACAGCCGCTGACTCAAGCAGCCATTGTTTGGTTAGCTGGACGCCCCGGACACCCAGCCCCCCTTCTTGAAGCTGTTTCTCATTCCGGCCCAGCCTGGCCCCATCTCCAGCTCCCCTCCCCCCCGTCCCAGAGGAGCACAGTGTGGGCCTGGCAGCCAGCGCTCTCCCCTGCCCTCCCACCAGCTCCATGGGGGCGGGGCGGCAGAGTGCTGTGACACCCGTCCCTCCTCACCCCCGCCGGTTTCTGTCCCAGCTTCCTCTTCTGAAGGGATCGGGCCAGGAGCTGAGGGACAGCTGCCTCTCCTGGGGACCTTGGTTGTCCCTCCCTGGCCTGGAGGGACTAGGGGTCCTGCTCACACCCCTCCCTACATCCTCATCTCCTGGGCCTGTGGCCTCGGTCTGGCCCCGAGCCGCCACAGGCGCGCCCTCCCCCGGGAGCCGCCCAGCGGGCCCAGAGTGCCCACCCCGTGTTGTGGGCACAGCTAGGACAGGCAGCTCTGGGCCCCCGGTGAGCATCTCTGAGCTGGGTCCCACGTCCTGGGGACATGGAGGTGACACGGGCCCCTCTCTGCAGCTGCCTACATCCCAGCTCAGAGGCCCAGCCCAGATGGGAGGCGGCAGCTTTGTCCTAACAGGACAACAGCACCGACACCAAGCAGCGGTGGCTGGCACACGCATACGGCGCGCCTTGCGCCGGCCTCTGCCTGTACTGCCTCACGTAGCCCCGCTGCACCGACGAGTCGACGCTACTTTACAGTACAGGAAACTGAGGCACAGAGACGGCAGTGACTTGCCTGGGCATGCACCGCCAAAACGGCCAGATCCAAGCCTTCAACGCAGGCAGGCTGGCTCTGGCGTCCTCGCCTCAACCACAGCTCCCTGCCCGCCGTCGGTGGCCACCAACGGCCGCCAGAACCAGCCTCTCGGAGCTGGAAAGGGTCTGGGTTGCAAGCTGGGGAAACTGAGGCCTTCAGGGTGATGGCCAGTTCTGGAGGGCTCAACGCCCTCCAACACAGACGGTGGCAGAGGCTGGGGAGGGCGCGGGGTGGCGGCCCAGCCCTGCCAGGCTCTTCTCCCGCCGCCTCCACGCCAGGGCCTCCACGCCAGGGCCTCCGCCCGCCCCATTATTTACCGATCAGGCACAAAGTGCTCGTGATTAACGCCCCACTGGGGCCTTGCAGGGCCTCGTAATGGAGCCGCCAGCTTCCTCCCTCCTCCGGCAGAGATTTATCGAGTTTCAGGGGGGAGGACAGTGGATGGGGGAGGCCTCGCCGGCCGGCAGATCCTGGCGGCATCGAGTGTCAGCGAGTGGGCGGCGCACGCCCGTCTGGACGGCCTGTTGGTTCGGCCGGGCCCAAACATGGCCTTTGGAAGGAAGAAAACAGCAGCACTCGGGGTAGCCAGGATCCAAGTCCACGTGGCTGGCACTCGGAGACTTTCTGGGCCTGTCCTTACTTGGGGACCGGCTGGTTTCCATGGCAATCCCCACACCGTTGTCAGAGCCGGAGAGGCCCTCGGGAGGCACCTGGCCCAGCCACCATGGGGGCTCTGGGTGAGAGCCTCTGTCTGTGGGGCCTGCTGGGACCTGGCAGGACTAATTCGGGACAGCAGCCACGGGGTCCCTTCCAGAACAAGATCAGCGATGTCTGCTCCTCCCCAAACGCCTTGCTGGCTGCTCGCAGCTCACAGGACAGCGTCCAAACCCTTGGCCTGCAGCAAGGCCCGGCACACGCTCGGCTTCATCCCTGTCTGCTGCCCAAGCCACGTCCCAACATCTCCGGGCCTGGGCCCCCGCCGTGTCCTTTGCCTAGAATGCTGTCCCCAGACCCATCAGTCAAATTTCTGCTCCAACATCCCCTCCTCCAGGAAGCCTTCCCGGACTCCCTCTGACGAGGCTGCCAGAGTGCAGCACTAGGTGTAGCATGTCTGCTGCCACGACTTCCTCCCTGATCGTTCTGGGGGCTCCTGGAGGGTAGGGGCAGGGTCTGACTGGTCCTTATTGGGGCCTGTCGTGAACACAGCTCAGTCCTCCACCCCCGCCTCTGCACAGCCCTACACCCTACAGAACCCTCCGGCAGGACTCTGCTAGAAGCCCAGACAGGCAACAGATGTTGCCAAGGAGGTGCTGGACTCCGGTGTGCGAGGGTGGAGACAGCTGCAGGCCCAGGGGCAGGAGCTCACACCTGGGGGCCCGACCCCAGCCCAGGACCATGCTGAGAAGCCCTCAGTGCCCACAGCAGCCCCAGCAGGGGCAGAAATTCCCTGGGCATCAGTTTCCCCACCTTTAAAATGGGTCCATTCACCCCATCCCAGCCCCTTTGGCTCATGCCCCTTCAATCAGTGTTTCTGGGGGACCCAGGGAGCAGAGGTGACAAGGAGCCAGATGACCACTCCGATCTTTACCCGCTGTGTGACTTCAGGCAAGCCACGTAACCTCTCTGGGCCTTCATTTCCCCTTCTGTAGACTGGGAATAACACTCATCTCATTCCCTTTCTGGGGGATTAAAAGACATACTATATGCAAAGTGCCTTTGCAAAGGGCTGACACAGGGTAAGTTCTCAAGAAACAACAGTAACAGTAGCAACGGTGCAACTGGGGCAGTTCTGGTGCCAGAGTGAGGGCTTCCTGGCCACTCCACAGCCCAACTCAACGCAGGTCGGGAAACTGAGGCCCAGAGAGAGGAAGGGAGCACCTGCCATTTGCCCCGTCTCACTGTGTTCCTGTTCTCACTGCAGCAATCAGGAACCCGCCCGTTCCTTAATCTCCACGGAAACGGTACCCGCGGGTGTGCAACGCAGACTCTGCAGACGGTGATGGTGCGGGAGCCGACTCAACCGGCCTGTGCCGACCCACCGTGCAGATGGGGAAATGGAGGCCCAGAGAAGCGAAGAGACTTGCCCCCGGCCACATGCGCCAGGTGCTTCCTGCCTGCCCGACTTGCTCAGGAGGCTGCCCCAGCCAGCCCCGGACCCCACATTATGGCTCGGCCTCTGCAGACGCCCCGCCGGCCTCAGCCATTCCGGGGCTGAGCCACCGCAGGGGCGTTGGTGCGAAGGGCCCAGCGGAGAGGGACCCCGGGACTCCCGGCAGAGCTCACAGCCAGCCAGCCGGGCTGCGCACCGCGCTCCCGCCAGCCAGCTGTGTGGCTCAGGGCGAGTAACATCCGCCCCCAGAGCTCAGTTTCCCCATGCGTCACCTGGAACAGCGACAGCGCCTGACGAGGGGCGTCCACGAGACCCAACGCGCAGGGGCCTGCGCAGTGCCCCCAGCGCGCTGCCCAGCTGGCGCGCGCAGCGCTGGTGTCTACTGGGCCCGAGCCGGCCCGCTCGCTCCTCACGCCACTCACGGTTGCCAGACACCCGCGGGCCGGACCCCTCAGCCCGACCCCAGGCCCCTCTGCCATCTCAGCCCGCCGTCCCGCCTCTGAGCACTGCCGGGCGGGCGGGCAGCCCCAGACGCACCCTCGCCGCTGCCCTGTGGATCTGCTCTCCTCCAAGGGCCGGCGCTCCTCTCCCAGGGCTCCCTGCCGGGCGGCCGGGCCAGAAACTGAGCACACTTCTCCCTCCTCGCTTCACCTCCACCTGCCACTCCCTGGGCACTGCATGTAAGGCTTCAGCCTCCCCGCGTCCCTGGAGGGAGGCACTGGCCCTGCTTTCTAATGAGAAAGCACAAGGCCCAGAGAGGGCAGATGGCTGGTCTTGGGTCACTCAGCCCATAAGCAGAACAGGACTCAGCGTCACCCCTGGGAGACAGGCTGACACCGTCTCCTGGCCCAAGCCCCATCTGTCTCTCCCGGCTAGAAGGTCATCCCGGCCAGCCTTGCCGGGACCGCCCCTCCTAAATCCCACCGAACGAGCGTCCCTGCTGGCACCCTTGGCTGTGGGGAGTTCACTCCCTGTCCCCAGCCCAAACCCGAATGTAAACTCCTTCTCGAAAGCTCTCTCCCTCCACCCCCACCTGGCATCTAAGCCCTTAAATTGGTACAAAAAATGCCTTCTTGACGACGTGCACCCACCCACCGCATGCCAGTTAAAAACTGCTTTTTTTCTACCTTTACTATAAAAAGATACCTAGAAAAAGCAGCATTGACATTTGCCTGTCACTTTTCCTTTTGTTTTAGAAATATAAATATTGGCCAGGTGGCAGTGGCTCACACTTGTAATCTGGCACTTTGAGAGGCCAAAGAGGGAGGACTGCTCGAGGCTGGGAGCTCAAGACCAGCCCGGGCAACATAGTGAGACCTTGTCTCTAAACACATGAACGAACTCAGCTGGGCATGGTGGCGTGCTACCTGGGAGGCTGAGGCGGGAGGATCGCTTGAGCCTACGAGTTGCACATCACAATGAGCTAGGATCGAGACACCACATTCCAGCCTGGGACCTTCTCTCCTTCTCTCGCAAAAATGTAAAAATGCGCATATTGTGGTCTTTCAAAGGTTGAGGAGACAGATCTGGGTAAGGAAGTTAGACTCAGCCTTCTCGGACCTTGCTGGGTGACCACGTCCCTCAGTTTCCCCCATCGATAGCATGTGCTGGCTTCCCGATTTGCTCGCACCCCAGACGGGCTGTGGGCTGTGAGCTGGGCAAAGGGAGCCCAGTGACGCGCGATGCAGCCGGGGCCTTCGCTCCTTTCTCTCAGTTTCCAACAGCCCCAAGTGTGCTGAGCAGGCGGGGCAAAGCTGGGGCCCTGTAGGGCGGGGCGAGGAGCTCCGGCCTCGAACTGGCACCTCAGCAGCAACTCCCCTGCATGCTGGGGGGTCTCACTGCCCTACAGGTGGAGGGCAGAGGGCACATCCTGCCAGGTGCATGGACCGTTGGAGGCCACCCAGACTGAGCCCTGCATCCGTGGGCGGCTTGAGGGATCCTGGCTGGCCCGGGGGTCATTAAGAGCTCCTCCTGGCAGGAGCAGGAGGCTGGGTTTCCAGGGCCTGGCTGAGCCTCCTGCTGGCAGGTCGGGCAGCCCTGGGGCCAGAGGGAAAGGCAGGGTCCTGTCACCATGTGCAGCCCCACACAGACCGCCCAGTGCCAAGAGCGCAGGCAAGATGGGGGGGGGGCGAAGGATTCTAGGCTCCTGGCACCCTCAGACCAAACTCATGCTCTCCCCAGAGGCACCCCCCCCATTCCCCACCCCAGGGGCGCCGACCTCTATCCTGTTGCTGGGCCCAACTCTGGCAGACTTCGGCCCCTCCCGCTGTCGGTCCCCCACCGCTGGGGCTGGGTCCAGCCCCTGAACCTGCCCAGAGCCCGCCTGCTACCCTCTGTGCCCTCAGGGAACAAGGCCAGCCCGGCCCCCAGCACAGGAAGTGCTCAAGAAGTGCCTGCGACCAAGCCCAAGCGACTGCATCGCTTCCTGAAGGTGGCACCAGACTCCCCCAACCGCCCTCCCTGTCTCCGTATTTCCTTCTTACTGGCTACCTAGGGACTTCCCAAAAATCATATTAAAATAACTGCAGTAATTACAAACACGCGTGCAGAGCACTCTACTAAGAGCTTCCCATGTATCATCTCATCTAATCCCCACAGGGCTCTATGAGGTAGAACTTACTAGCATTCCCATTCTGCAGAGGAGGAAACTGAGGTGCTCACTGAGAACCCGTCACTCCTCGGCCTAAAAGCCTTCGTGGCGCCGCGTCCCCAGGATAAAGTCCAGACGCCGCAGTACAGCCCACCCGCGCCCGCCTTCTCCTGCTCCAGCGGCCGGGCCGCGCCAGCCTCCACTTCCTCCTGCCTGCCTCGCTGCACGCCGCCTCCAGGCCTTGGCGCGGGCTATTCCCTGCCCAGACCCTTTCCTCTTCTCCTGCCGGCTTCCCCGGCTACCCGCTGCTCGCCCACCAGCTTCCCCGGATGCCTCGGGCGGCCTCCAGACCCGCTCTGCCCGCGCTCCCTCACGGCGCAGCACCGTGCTGGACAGGCCAGCACATGCTGGCCACACATCCGTCGTCCTCTGCTCACCTGCAGCCAACAGGAGCAGAAGCAAAGTGAGTGACCATCGGGCCCCAGCACACAGCATGGGGCTGGGCGCACAGCAGGGCTTAGTCTTCGGAGGTATCCAACTGGGGCTAGGGGTAGGAGACGGTGGGGTCTTCACTGCTGCAGAACAAGCCAAGTTGGGTCCCTGTTCGCTATCTGGGACCAAGCCCAGAACCATGCTAGTACTGTCCCCTAGAGTAGCAACAACAAGAACAGCTGACAGCTACCTGGTCCTGACTGTGCACCAGGTACCAGTGCTTTGCAATGACGAATTCGTTTGGTCCCTAAAACAACCCTTTGCATAAGTATTGATTTTCATTGGCCCCACTTCACAGATGAAGAAACTGAGGCCCAGAGAAGTTACTTGCTCAAGGGCACACAGCTGGGAAATGACACAGTAGGACTTGAACCAGGCAGTCTGATGCGAAGTCTAAGTTTTTAACCTGTAGCTGGGCAGCTGGCAACAGCCTGCAGCAAGAATAAAGGTCACTGCCTCACACGCCCCCGTGCTACCGGCCCAGACCCCAGGGCCTCGGCACTTCTGGGGACACCGCCAAGCGGAACTGGCCCTGTCCCCAGCATGGGAGGAACACAAGTGTGGAGCACACATGGAAGGTGACTGGCGAGGCCTCAGAGGATGGCCTCAGCTGGGAATCTGCCTGGCCTTGGGGCCACTCTGCCGCTGGGGCTGCATCCCTGGAGAGGCCCTGCTGCCACAGGGAGAGGGGAGCCCAGCCTCCTCAGCAGGGTGAGTCACTGCACCAGGCCAGGCTGGGGACAAGGGACCGTGGGAACCAGGATGGCTCTTGGCAGAGGGGGAGGGGGAGCCTGGCCTGGCCTGACGCATGGCACAGATCAGCTGACACCTGGGGCCTACACGGGGCCTGGAACTGCTCGAGGACGGCCACGGGGTGCCCAGGCCTGCGCCCGGCCCCGCAGGACCGTCCCTCCACTGGGCGGGGGCTGCAGCGCGGAGGCCGACTCCGCTCTTCTCCTGAGCTCCCCGCGCCCAGCCAGCCTTGCTGGGGATGTGGCTCTGGAGGGGAGTGGCGGACGCCCGGGCCCTGCCTGGGCAGCCGGCCGACCGGGGCCCTGGGGGGCTGCTCCCTTGGGCAGTCTGCCCTGCGCACCCACTGCCGCCCATTTTCGGCAGGGCGGCCCGCAGGGCGGTGGGCAGTCCTGGGAGCCCAACCTTGGGAGAAGCAATCTGGTTTTCTCAAAGCCCCCAGTCGGGCACGCCCCTGGGGAGTGTTCATCTCCTGGGGGTCTCGCACAGCCTGAGGACCAGGACCCAGCCTCGGGAAGGCTCCGTGGTCACAGGAGGAGGCTGAGTCCGGCATCTGGCTGAGGGAGAACCGGGCTCCCGAGGGGAATGGCAAGTTGTGGAGTTGAAATGGGCCCCCCAGACACAGGCCAGCATGGAGAGCGGGCAAAAGCCCAGGGTATTTCAGAACCTCATTCCTCAAGGTGACAATTGGGGACCAACAGACCCACCTGCCAGGGCCGATGCTCCCATGATCCTTTCCTGGTGGACTCCCTTGAGGGGAACTGTACCCTATCCCCTCTGCACCCCTGTGTCATGCCACCCAAGATCAACACACACACTCACCCCCCAACTGGGTCCTCTTGCCTCTGCCCAACCCAGCCTCAGACACCTGGCCCCAGCCTTTCTGGCCACTCCGTGGGCCTCCCTGAGCCCCACAGTCCTCTCCTGCCCCATAACCCATGTCCACCTTCTCCCATTCTCTGGCAATCTGCCCACCTCAGCTGCCAGGGGCTCCTGCACCGCCCTCCCCCCACAGTAAGCTCCGTGTCCAGAAGGCAGCAAAGGCTCGGCATTAAGGACACAGATGCTGAGGCCAGACAGCCTGGGTTCAAAGCCCACTTCTGCCAGTTCTCAGCTGTGTGATCTTGAGCAAGTTACTTAACCTCTCTGTGCCTATTTCTTCATCTGTATAATGCAGATGAGAATAGAGCCTACGTTGGAGGATTATTCTGAGAACTGAGTCATGAATTTAGCAGGTACTCCACAGTTTCTGTTTACGGAGCCCCCCCCATCCCCATGCCTGGTACCTGCTAAGTGCTCAGGAAATATTTGTTGAACAAGTGAATGAAAGTTGGCCTCAGGGAAACACCTGTTTGCCAACCATGCAGCCTCCCCAGAGTACCTAGTGGTTCCCAAATATCTGTGTCCCCTGCCACAGACCTCCAGCTGCACACCCCGGCCGCCCGTGGCAGCAGCACTGCCACAGCACCCGTCTGGCCTGCGCTCCCGCAGGCCCCAGCTTGCTGGCACACGGGTGGGGAACACATGCCCCGCTACGTCCACTCCGCTGCCCCTCTGCATCTGCAGGACCCAGGTGCACACCTGTGTGCCTCCCTGCACACCCGCCACACCCATGCACACATCTGCCAGTGTGCAGTGGTAGCTCTGACAGGCTGACACGGCCGTCCCCGACACACCCTTTGTTAGGCATGCATGAACTTCCCGTGCACTCAGCATGCACCTGCAACCCGCGTGCGCACACCTGGGCTGTATGCCCACCTTCGAGGCTCTTCAGCTAACGCCCACGTATTTGGGCAACTTGGACCCCTCCCAGTATACCTAGGTATGTGCACCTGTAACGCAGCACTCACTGAGTCCCCAAAAGTACCCACCTGGGGTATACAGGCGCCAGTAGTACCCCTTGGGGTAAACTTGTATCCTCGTGTGCACACCTGGGTCCTTGCACACGCACATCTGGGCCCACTCACGCTCACACCTGTGACCTCCTCAGCTCACAATCCACCTGGTTACCTGCACTCTGCGGGTGCCTGGGCCAGTCCCCCGCGCCCCGCCATCAAAGCGTACCTGGATGTTGCGCTTGCGCTCGCAGGCCGGCCCGGTGCCCTGCACCACACTGTCGAGCACCGCGACCACGTCGGGTGCCGGCTCCACGAAGCAGGCGGTGCGCGCGGCGCGGATGGCGGCTCGCACGTCGGCGAAGCGGAAGGCGCAGAGCGCGGCCGGAGCCGCGCGGCCCCCGGGGGCCACCTGGGGCCGCTCGAAGACCGCAAAGAGGAGCTCTCGCGCCGGGAAGACGGACACCAGGCGGCTGTAGAGGTCGCCGCGGCCCGCGCCGCCCGCGCACTGCAAGCCCAGCTGGATGTAGGACTCGGTGAGCTTCTTGGCGTCGCCGCCGGCGCCGCGGGGCAAGCAGATGCGCGCCAGCAGGCTCCGCGCCTGGCTCTCCTTGTCGCCCGCGCGCGCCTCGCTGTTGAGCGCCAGGTACGCGTAGGACGGCGCGCCGGGCGGCGGGGCTGCCGGGTGCAGGAAGGCGCGCACGAAGCCCAGCTTGTGCTGCTCCTTGGCGCCCTGCTTGATCTTGAGGATGTTGTCGTCGGAGGGGTTGAGGTCGAAGGTGAAGAGCTTGGCCAGGTCGCCGCGCGCATCCAGAGAGCGGATGGCGATCTCGGGCGTGTTCTCGAAGCGGTGGTCCTCCAGGCTGCGGTTGCGCGGGAAGTAGGCGCTGCCGTAGCCGGTGTACGTGGCGCCCACGAGCAGGCGGCTGCCCCGCGCGCCGGCGGCCGGCGGCAGCACCAGCCCCACGGTGGACGCGTTCGGGTGGTTGGCCGCCACGTTCAGCATGCTGGGGAACACGGTGACAGGCTCGGCGGGCGGCGCGGCGGGCGGGAAGCGCACGGCCACGGCAGAGATGTTGCCCCGGCGCCGCAGCTGGCAGAAGCCCTGGTAGATGGAGCCGCACACGACCACCAGGTCCTGGCCCGGGTCCAGCTGCAGGATCTTGTTGTAGTTGTCCGTGAGGCGCCGCGGGTGCTCGCACGAGGCCTGGGGCAGCTGCGGCGCGTGACACAGAGGGCTGTCGGCCACCGGGCCCACGGCCGCCTCGGCCTCCAGGCTCAGGTTGGCCCCCGACAGCTGGTACAGGCGGTTGACGGCCGCCAGGTACACCGTCCCCGCCGCGCCGTCCAGGGCGAAGTTGTTGGTGGGCGTGGGCGAGGGGAACCGGCGCTGCACCTCCAGGGCGCCGACCCGCGCCGCCCCCAGCAGCAGCAGCAGCAGCGGCAGCGGCCGCCGGCCCCGCGGGGGCACGGGCGGGCGCGGCGGGGTCCGGAATGGCGGGCGCGGCGGCAGGGGCTGGCGCGGCGGCCGGGCGCTACGGGGTGCGCCGCCGCGGCGCGACGAGCCATCCGGGCGTGCGCGGGCTGCGCGGCGCGGCGAGTGCATGGGCGGCGCGGCCGCGGCCGGAGGCCGGAGCCGGAGCCGGAGGCCGAGGCGGGGCGGGCCCGGGCTGCGAGGCGCTTCCTGCCCGCGCCAGCCCCCCCAGCCTCGGCGCCCGGCCGGGCTCGGCAGCGCCGCGCAGCCCGGGGCGGGGCGGGGGGCGGCCCGCGGCGGACACGCCCTCGCGCCCCGCCCCGCGCGCCCGCCGCCGCCGCATCCCCGGCCCTCCCCAGCTCCGCCCCCGCCACGGCGCACGGCCCGCCGCCGCCGGGCGTCCCGCAGACCCGCGCCTCCAGCGCCTCCTGCGCGGCCCGCGCTCCCCCGGGCCTGCCTGCGCCTCGGTCCCCAGTTCTGGCTCTTTCCTCTCACTTGGCCGCTCGGCCTGCCTCACTCCCGCTTGTTTGCTCTCCTCCGTTTCTCTCCTGTCTGTGTCTCTGTGCGTCTCTGCACCCTTCCGTGGGTTGAGTCTCTCCTTTTCTCGGTCTCTAGTTCTAGTTCTCCTTCCCTCCCTCTGACTCCCAGTTGCCTTCTGTCTCCACCGCAGCCCTCATTCTCTCTCTCACTTCCCCTTGCTGTCCCCGGCACCCTGTCCCTCCGTCCATGGTCCATGGCTCCGGCCTCCTCCCCTCACACCCTGTATCTCTCCTGTCCCTCCCTGGCGCTGCCCATCTCGTGCTCACCGTCTCTCACCCTCCACCCCTGGCCAAGGCACCCCCAGGGCCAGCCAGGCCCCCTAGACCTGGCCTTGATCTGCGCCTCATGCCCCAGTCCCATAAAAGGGGTTTACAAGTGGAGGGACTGCAGGACCAGTGCTCAGGGCTCAGACACAGAAGTCAGGAAAACGGAGAGAGGACATGGCTCTGGCACCTGCCAGCTCACAGGGGCAGAGCTACAGAGTTTGAAAGCCAGTCTTTCAAACGGGGTCTCCCAGGAGGCCCTCAGCTGCCACATGGTGCCTGGTGGCTGGCACTCTGAGAATGGTCTCACCTCACTTTCCACTTTCCCACCTGACAAGGAAGGAAGGACCAGGGGCATGTGCGCCATGGGGCAGGCAGAGAAGGCTGGGCCTGCAGCCGCCCCACTTCCTTTACCCACGACGCCCTCCTCTTCCTGCCCTCCGTCCTGCCGGTTCCTACCCCTCATCCCTGGGTCTGGCCAGGGCTTTGATGGCCAGGGGTGCTCAGCTGCAGGAAATTGGAGGCCTGCTTCCTGGTGCCCCATCCACCCAGGCCCAGGGCTGCTCAGGGGACTGTCCGATAGGACTCATGTCCCTGCCTCCATCTCCAGGTAGGGAGGGCCCATGTCCTGCCAGCAGACTGGGGAGCCCAGCAGGGGTGCCTGGGGCCTGCCTTAACGCTCCTCCTCCCAGCCCTCCTCAGCGCCCCTTCCCTGTGTCCACCCATCTGTCTGTCTCCTGCACATCTTGTCTTTCTCTGGCCTTCCCCCACCCTGCCACTGCTTCTGTCTGGCTGCTTGTTCTCCTGCTTTCTCTCTCTGTCTCCTTCTCTCCCAGTCTCCTCGCCCTCCCTGTCCACTTTCTGTCTGTGTGTGTGTCTCTCTCTGTCCCCCTCCCTCTCTCTCTCCCTCCCTATCCCCACCCCTTCCCTCTCTCACCCCTCCCTCCCTCCTTCCTTCCTTCCTTCCTCTCTCCAGCTCATCTTGCCACATCCTGCAGCTCCCCCCACCGAGCCTTGAGGATACTGCTCTGTGTCAGCTCAACTCAGACCTGCACGTGGCTGGTTCTGGGCACTGGGGACACAAACTCCCTGCCAAGCTGAACAGGCAGGCTCGGGAGCTGCCTCCGGCTAGGGACCTTTGGGGTCAGGTAAGGATCCAGAGTCCAAGTTTTCCAAAATAAAAGGGATGTGAGCAGTGCTGTGTGGCCTTGGGCAAGGCACTCATCCTCTCTGAGCCTCAGTTTCCTTAGTTGTAAAACAAGGACAGTCATAATAGCACACCTGCCGCTGGTGGGTTGAGATTGGAGAATACAGCATAAGGTAACATAGCAAGCGCTTCACAGGCACTTGGCAAACACTGGTTTCTCTCCCCTTGTGGAGAGAAATGTCCCCTGCAGCCCATGCTCGAGCTGGAGGGGGTGGAGGGTTGCAACAGACCAGGGCCCACTTCCTGGCCTGAGCCCCATGGTGGCTAGCGGAGCCAGTGTCCACAGGGCTAAGTCCCGTGCCCAGCCGCGGCCCACAGGACCCTACGCCGTCCTTGCTGCCAGGCTGGGTCCTCAGGCCCATTTCACAGACAAGGTGAGGACTCGAACCCAGGTCTTTCTCCAGATCCTGTGCTTTCTTCCCTCTATACATTATCTGGGACGCAACTGGGCCACGTGGGTCACGGTGGCAACCGCCACACACCCCTGGCTGGGCGGGGAGATGCTGACAACTAGGGGTAGAATGAACAAATGAAGGAACAAATAATCCCACAGCTCCCTGGCCTTGCCACGATTCGATGGGGTGTGCTCCCAGACGGGATTTTGGAGGGAACCAAGAGGAGATGGGTGACAGCAAGGAGCAGGGGTGGGTGGGACCCGGTATTATAGCTCAGGATCGGCCAACCAGCCTGGAACATCAGCCACCCATCTCACCAGAGCCCCGCCCTTTCCGTTTTCCTTCCCGTCTTCTGATTTTATCACAGAAAAGGTCTGGGTTTGGGGCTAACATGTCCTTAATGACTCTGTAACATTTGTCATTGTCCCTTTTTAATAGAGAGAAGGTCGCAAGCTCCGTCTCAAGCTCGGGGCTGTTGGCATCAGCATTCTAGAACTTACCCAGCACTTCTTTCTTTTCTATTTGCAGTTGCTTTCAGGTTTGACAAGTGGGACTGGTTTTCCAGTACAACAAAGGTGTGAAGCTCCCTCCATCAGTGCATTTAATGAAGGCTTAAAAATGTACATTAAAGGCAAATATGAGATAGGTCATAATCCAGGTGGTATAAAAATGCCCGGAATTTGGGAAAGTTGGGAAGTGTTGAAGGTTTCCCAAATTTCCAGGCAGGGGCAGGTCCTTGGTGCGAACGCCCAGTGGTCAGTGGCTAGGCGGGCCCAGGGAGGGTGGGCCTGGGCTCCCCACCCCGCCCCGTCCTGTCTCAGGCTCTGCTGCCCAGGCAGAGCTGGGAGGAGGAGGAGGAAATGTTTTTCTTCTTCAATTGGAAAAAACAACAGTGGGGCCAGGGCTGCACTGGGAGGAAGGGGCTCCTGCCCCCCCCAGCCTGGGCCTGGCCTCGAGCACGTTTGCCCTGCAGGAAATGCTGCTGATGGCTGCCTCCTTGAGCACTGCCTTATCGCAAGGAAGGTGCTGGAAACAGCTTAGCAGGCCAGCCACCGGCCTGGTTAGTGCCAGGAGCTGTCACTGCAGCTCTGGGCTTGACCCTCATTTCCCCTGGGAGCAACCCTGAGAGGCAGGTTTTGGAGTTGAGACACCTGAGTTCCTGGCCCAGCTCTGACCCTATCCTTCTGCATGACCACGTGGCACCACTGCTCCTTTATGCCTCAGTTTCCATATCTGGAAAAGGGGAACATACTCCATCTCCTGGGGCTGCTGTGCTGGTGGAGACAGCCACGCGTCACAGTGCCGGCGCGTCATGGATGTGGTAGCTGCTGACCCTCCGGCTCTGGAACCGGGGGCTCCTCTCCCCAGACTCCCTGAGAGGAGCCATGTGGGCTCCAGACTCGCTCATCCGGACCCCAGGACAGCCCCCCCGCCAGGTACCCTGTCCCCTTCCCCCCCACACTGGATCTCCTGTCACTGCCACCACATCCCACTGGTGTGGCCCAAGGGGGGTGACCCTCCGGTGGCAGCGCTGGCAGGCGACATGGCAGCCCCCACGCCAGTGTGCTCACGTTACGGACAGCTGGGCTGGAGCCACAGGTTCTCTGTTGCCGTTTCCCCACGGGCCGCGCCACACTACCGGCGTCGTGGAGCAAGGGGGTCCTCCCCCTTTGCATTCTAGGGGCGTCCTTCTGGGCTCTGGGCGTTCCCACTGCCACCTCCCCTGGCTGCCACCCCGGGGGCGGCCTTCAGGGTCTGGTTTCAGGGCCAGGAGTAGCGGCCTGTGCTCGCCTGTGGGAGTCCAGCCCCTGGGTCGTTTCTGTCCTCTTTGTGTCCCTGTGTGCCTGGAGGAAATGGTTCTCATTCCTGCATGTCAGCGATGCCCTTTGCCGACTCCGCGGGTCCTTGCCCTCTGTGGTCAGCGGCCTGGCCGGCGGGGAGGGGACCGCAGTCCCGTGCACTCATGGCGGGCGCCGCCCCCGCGCGGCGTGGCCCTTTGTGCTGTGTGGGCCGGATAATGGGCGGCATTCCCAGACGGCCAGTCATGGGTTGGGCCAAGAAAGGCCCCGGGCAGCTCCACACTGAGGCCTCTGTCCAGCAGCGGTGGCAGAGGGGCAGGGCGGCCCCACCCACATTCCCCGCTGCCGCCCAGCCACGGCCGCCCAGCGCCCAGCGCCCAGCGGGCAGGGAGGCAGGCGCTCCCTGAGCACACAGCAGGTGCACCACAATCGCGTCCCCAGTGACAGGGTGTCCTCAGTGACAGGAGCCGCAGGGAGGCAGGGCAAGTGCAGAGCTGATGAGGACCAGCATCGTGTGGTTGAGTACCTACTGTGCGCTAGAGCTTTGCTGGCTGGTCCTTACAAAAGCTACCCAGCGGCTGTGCTGTTGGCCCCATTTGATGGATGAGTAAACTGAGGCTCAGAGAGGTGAGGCTCTGGTCCTGGATTTGAACCCATGTGTGTCTGGCCATGTGTCTTGCATCAGATGTCGAGTGAGCACCGACTGCTTGTCCTGGGGGCGCAGCACTGAGTGCGACCTGAGGCGGCCGGGCTGAGGGGATGGCCAGGGAGCCGCCAGCCCACCAGGCGGACGGGAGCCAGCAGGGCGGCTTCCTGGGGAAGTGTGGCCCGAGCGGCTTTGTGCAGCACACACCATTAGTGTGTGTCCAGCATTAGCCTTCACAAGGCAGGGGCTGTGAGGCCCATGGACGAGGAGGAGACCGAGGCCCTCGGGCTGCCCAGGGCGGAGCTGGGATTTTCACCCAGGCCTGGCTGTTCCCTTTGCTCCAGGGCTGGGGCCCAGTGAGGGGAGGTGGGACCCTGTGAAGTTGTCATCCTGTGGTCCTGGGCCTGGGTTCCAATGCCAGCCCTGTGCTGCCTGTGTGAACCAGAGTAAGTCCCTTTATCTCTCTGGGCCTCAGTTTCCACACCTGTGATATGGGTATGAGGGTCACTATCTCTGCAGCTGTGGAGACATTTAGCCAGCACCTGGTCCATGGTTAATACTCTATCAGTGACATTTATTATTAAATCATTGGTGGGAGAAGGTGTCGCTCCTCCCACCCTTCCTCCTGACTCTGACTTTGGGAGGTCAAAGTCAGACCTGCCCTGCCCTAGGGCTGGATGGAGCTCAGAGCCGGCTCTGGAGTTTTGTTGGGTGTGCACAGGGCAGTTTCCCTCCACGCCCCCTCCTACACCCTGCCCCCACTGCCCGCCGGCCCGCCCGCAGGGCTTCAGACCCACACCCTCCTGTAGGCCTGCGTCCTCGTCTCTGGCTCGGGACGCAGCGTGTGCCCGAGCACCCGGCCAGTGTTTGGTCTTTGCCCACAGCAGGGGCCGGGGCTGTCCCCAGCGGCTCCTGCAGCCTGGTGCTTAGTGGCTGCTCCTGCGGCACCTCCTCCTCCGCCGTGCCCCTCACCCCACCTGGCAGAGCAAGCACGTTAGCTTCTTTCACCTTATTGCAGATAACAAAACAACAATATAGCTACTCGGGAGGCTGAAGTGGGAGGATTGCTTGAGCCCAGGAGTTCGAGTCCAACCTGGGCAACATAGTGGGACCCCATCTCTTCAAGACAATAGTGGACACTTATACAGCCCTGCTGTGGTCTAGGCCCAGTTCCAAGTACCTTGCATATATCAATGTATTTAAACCTTACAACAGCTCTACAAAAAAGGTGCTATCCATTTACAGTAGGGAAACAGGCGAAGGCGTGCAGTGACTTGTCCGAAGTCGGCAGCTAGCGCATGGTGGAGCCTGGATTCCAGAGTCCTCATTCTCAATGAGCTTGAGTCTCCGTTGCCCCAGACCCAATGCCAGTGGGCCAGCGGGTTCTCTAAGTGCTGGCCTGGCACACACACCCCTCGCCAGATCAATTCCCACCCTATAATGTCTCCTGCCCCCCTCAATGCCCCAGTAAACTTATAAGAACCTTTTCTCAGCTTTGATGCTTTCCGGGAGACTGGGTAGAATAAAGCCGTCCCTGGAGGCTGGGCTGGGCAGGTATGGGCTGAAATGTAGGCAGCCTCTTCCCCATCAGGCCTCTCCCAGCCCCCCAAACCTGACTGCTTGGTTTAGTCCCAGCCAATGTAGTGGGACTGACAAGGCCCCAGTCATCTTCTGAAACCACTGCTGGGTCTGGAAGGGCTAAGAGCTACCTGCAAGGGAGTGAGTGCCTGTCACTGGGGGTATGCAAGCAGGAGGCCCTAAGGAGAGATGTCCTGCCCTAGGCGTGGCCCCAAATTGGACTAACTGCATGAATCTGAGATCCCACTCGGCTGAGCACTTGCTATGTGCTGAGCACACACACCCACTGGGACAATTCGCATCGCTTCAGAACAGGGCAACTGAGGGGCTCTCTTGCATTCAGTCACAAACTGGGTGATAGGAGAGGCCGGCATGGACAAGCGGGGCCCAGGTGTACTTGGTCTTACTGGCATGATGGCCTACAGGAGCCCCTAGAGAGAACCCAGTGTCCAGAAAAGATGTTTCCACTCTTGCCTTCTTGGGGAATTTTTTGCATCCCTCATGACACGGCCCAAATGTCACCTCTTCTGGAAATCTTTTAGCGAACTCCTAGGCATCCTTCAAGGCCTAGTCTAAATGGCCCTTCTTTGGAGAAGACTTCTTTGAACATTAAAGCAGTATTAGGGGTTCTTCCACCCCCTTAGAGCTCCTCCCCTGAACTCACTCACACCAGTGAAGGCATGTCTTTCCCAGGGGAGCATGCCTGGTCACTGCTACTAAATGTGGGACGGATGAATGGCTGCAGCACCACCCAGGACACATCTGCCTCGCAGACACAGGATGGTCACGTTGGCCTCTCCCTGGGCAGTGCCAGACAGACTCTGCGAAGCTGCCTCCCGGCCCCCGCTGTGCACCGCCATGCTGACTGCCACACTCACCAGACCAGGCCCAGCAGAGCAGCGTGCTCTGCCCGCTTTTACCTGGGAGACCCGCTGCCCTGAAGGCAACCCTCGCCCTGATTCCCGGCAGAGTTCTGAATGTCCTGTGCCCTCGCCTCGCCTCCACGTGCCGGCAGAATGTGGGGTGGACCGTCTGTCCTTCCTTCCGCGACCTGTGACTAAGCGCCTGCCGTGTGCCCGGCACTGGGGGTGCCATGTGAACCCACGGGCACGGTTCGTCCTCAGCCCTGCCTTGGACGCGGGCTTCCATCAGGTAACTCAGAACTGCCTAACCACAAAAGGCCGCACGCCGAGAAGGGCGATACCAGCTGGTTCTAGAAGAGTCCCTCACAGGGACACTTGAGCCCATCTTCCTTGGCCTGAGACCCGCAAGACGCACAGCAGTTAGACGATGAAGAGAGAGCTGTCCCCATGGGGCGCAAGGGCAAAGGCTCAGCGGTGGGTGGCAGCGGGACCCTGGAGGGCAGAAAGGCGGCCTTGGGGGTGGAGCAGAGGCAGCACAGGGCCTCTGCTTGAGGCTGGGGGCAGGCTGCTGGCCGATCCAGAGCTCTGTTGCGGGGTGCTACCTTTCAGGGGTCCCACACCCCAGCCTGGCCTCTGGGCCACAGGGGCCTCCAGGGTCACTGGGTGCAGGCTCCACTGCAGCCACCGCACGGAGCTCCCTGACAGCGCCGCGGCGGGAAGGGCCCTCTCAGGGAGCTGCCCAGGCGTGGTGGGGGAGGGCTGTGCAGCCTGTGGGAGCCCGTGTGTGCACGTGTGCGGGGAGGGGTGACCATGCACACACGGGAGGGTGCACAGGTGAGCAGGGCTGCACGGTGGGGGCGGGGCGCGCGGGGGGCCGTGCACACAGACGGGCGTCCAGGTCCGAGTGGGGGACGAGTGTGCACGCAGGGGTCTGCAGCGCCGTGGAGGCGGGGCGCGCGGGGGGCCGTGCACACAGACAGGCGTCCAGGTCCGAGTGGGGGACGAGTGTGCACGCGAGGTCTGCAGCGCCGTGGGGGCGGGGCGCGCGGGGGGCCGTGCACACAGACGGGCGTCCAGGTCTGAGTGGGGGACGAGTGTGCACGCGAGGTCTGCAGTGCCGCAGGCCGAGGGGGGCGCGTGCACCAGGGCTAGTGCCTACAGCTGCCAGGGACGCAGGGTCAGCGGGATCCGGCCTGGGGACTCCAGCCCTTGGAGGCCATCCGGACCTTCTCTGTCAAGGGCCCTGGCTGGTCCTGCTGCCCCTGGGCTGAAGGACAGTTTCCACGTAAAACGCCACAATTTTCATGGTCACCCTTCAATAGCCTGATGTCTGCTTTGGAGGGTCCAGCCTGGCCTTGGATGGGGAAGTGTCCGACCTTGAGTGGTCGGGCCCTGGCCTTGGCAGCCCAGCCTGCCAGCAGCTAGCCAGCCTGCGTTCCCCTGACCGAACAGTCCTCTCTGTTGAGGAACTTAAATCTGGTTCTTTAGGGAATTTGGGGTGACGTCATCCCTCTTACTCCAGAGCAGCCTCCGCGAACCACAGCTGGTGTCTCAGGATGAGCCGCCAGCCTTCCCTGTAACTTCCCCCGGACTTCCCCACCCCTGCCTGGCCTCTGAGCCCCTAGTGACCCAGCGAGATTAAGTCCCACCATGAACTTCCCTCCTGCCTTCTCTCCCTGCTTGGGTTTCCAGGGAGTCTCCGAGACTCAGCTCTGGCCTCACTTCTTCCAGGCCGCCTTCCGGGACCTCCTCCTCGGACTCCCATGGAGCCCCAAACTCCCTACCTCCAAGCACCCACACCAGGTGACAATTTCTCTGTTGCTCCAGCTTCTCTGCCAACCAGGGGGCGCCTCAAGAGCTAGAACTTTTGGAGGCACACCCGTGTCCCTGATGTCACCAGGCAGGTCTCGCAGGGCCTTGCGGGCCACTGTGAGGACTTGAGTGTTTGCCCTCGTGAGGGGCAGGGGGGAGGGTGCCGGGCAGAGGAGGGGTGTTCTCCAGGTGCGGGTGGAGTGGGTGCCGTGCGGGAGTGTCGGAGGCAGGGAGAGCCCTGCAGACGGCACGGGCAGTGAGGGTGGCGGGGAGAAGGATCCTCCCTCTCACCAGCAAGTCCTAGGGCTTCAGTGGTGGCAGCACATTGAGGCCAAGGCCAGCAGAGGACCCAGGCCTGTGACTCCCAGTGTCCTCCCTGACCTTGTCTAACTCGTAGGTGGGGTGCCGTGCCCGCAGCCTGCCTCCTGAGTGTGTGTCCCCTGAGCGTTCATGGGAGGGAATGGTGCCAGTGGCAGGCCAGAGGCTCAGGTGTCCTAAACCAAGGTGAGTATCCCCACCCACACAGCTGCCTGAGGCCACCCCTGCAGGTGCTGCCAGAAGCCCTTGTCCCTTCCTGCCCCCATCAGGGTCAGGAAAAGGTCACCTCCCATCACCCCCATCAGTCTGTCTCCTCTAGCCCCCAGAAGCCAGCACTAGTCCGAGCTCCAACCCCTCTCTACTTGGGGCCCCTCCTGCTCCCTCTCCCTGCTGCCCTCCTCCCTTCTCCCCAAATCTCTTTTCCTGAGGGATATTTGCAAATTGCATATCTGTTAGTGCTGTTTTTCTACAACTTCAAACCCTGTAAAAGCTGCCTGGGTTAAGCGCTGTCCCCCTTCCTGGGTCCACGGCCTCCTTGGCCGGTCCCGCCCCACCCCCATCAGGTCAGCCATGTGCTCTAACTAGATTCCCTGCCACCTTGGCTACTGCTGTCACCTCCCTGCTGCCCCCACCCTCCAGCACGCATCCCTCTGCCCATTAGCACTCCCAAGCAGCCCCAATCCTTTCAGGGGTGCACGTGCTGCCCCTGCCCGGTGGCTCAGCTGCCCTCACAAGCTCTCTGCACAGCAGTTGTGCGAGATTTGATGCTGCTCGAGGGCAGGGTCCCCATCTGTGTGCCAGCTGCGGGGACCCCAGGGCCACACACTCCAGTAGTTGCTCCTACTTCTGCAAATGAGCAATGACCAGGTCCTTGGGCTGGTGCAGAACAGAACAAAGCTTGGGCTATGTGCCAACCTGGGTGGGGGCACAGCCTGGAGCCCCCTGCACCTTCCCCACCGTCCCCGGGAAGCTATTTGCAGCTCCCAGAAACAGGAAGTGAGTCATGGTGCGAGAGGCCAGCGGATGCTGGGCACCTAGGGCGCGACTGATGGGCGCCTGCAGGAAGGCCGGGCCACCACCAGGGCAGCAGGAAGGAGGCCTGGAGGAGGACGACGGGGGAGACCCTCTCCCCAGGAAAGCATGCAGCCTGTGGGGCACCTGCGGAAGCTGGTGAGGTCATCGCAGACGTGGCCCTGGGCCCATTGTCTGGCCACACCTGGGGCCGCCCAGGGGACAGGAAAGGCTGGGAGACCAAACCCCCACTTGAAACCCCTCCTGGGCCCCTGCGTGGGCTGGGCCTGCAGTTATCTCATTCACTCTGCACGTGGGCGCAAGGGCTCACGGGCTCCATTTACAGACGGCCAAAGAGAGGCCAGGGCTCGCGAGGCCCGTCGCCAGGGAGGGGCGGCTCGGGCTTGAACCCAGCTCTGTGCGGCCACGGCGCTCTCTGGCTTCCGACCCTCAGGGAGTACAGGAGACTCGGGGTCGAAATTGCTCCCGAGGCGGCCACCAAGAAGTCTAGGCAGGTTCTGGGCAGGGAGCTACGGACCTGCCAGGCCAGGGTTCTGGGCCCGAGCATCCTCTGCCTGACAACAGGGCCTCGACTTCCCCACCCTCACTCAAGAGGCTTCGTCGGCGAGGCTGGGTGAAAGCCAGGGCTCTGCAGCTGGGAAGGTCCCCCAAGCTGGGGCTCCTGAGCTGGGAGCTCAGCGTGGTCTCTGCGAGCCAGGGGCCTCTTCCCTGCATCACAGCCCAGGGTCGGGACGCCACGGTTGGCGCTGGCTGGGTTGGCGCTGGCTGGGTGGCAGGGGCACCACCCGGGAGCCCATGTGGACCAGGGCCCCACAGGCCCGCGGGGGCAGCCCTGTCAGGGGTGGGAGGACTCGGGCACTTTCGCTTCCTCAGCTGGACCTGTGTCACCCCACCCGCCACATCTCACTTCCCCCTCAGGGCCAGAGCTGGGGCTGCCTGTCCAGACGGAGCCGGGCGGGCTGCGCAGTGCAGCTGCACATGCGCTGTGAGCCTGGCCACTGAGGCGCGGGCCCTGGGCCCGGGACCGAGGAGAGGAGGAACCAGGCAGGGCAGACCCCCAGACACATTGTCGGGTCGCGACTCCTGGGCGGGAGCTTTGAAGTTTTTGTCTTCGTGTCTGAATTTTCTAAGTCTTGCTCAGAGGACATGTGTTGTTTGTGTCAAAGAAGAACACGGGGCGGGGGGGGGGCATCCCAGCCACATGCTGTGCCTGCGCTGCCAGCCTGACCCCTGGCACCCCATCTGAGTGTGACTCTGTCCTCTCCCTTCTCCCCCACGGCCCCGACACCCCACCCCAGATCGAGACCCCTCAGCAGACAGTGAGGACCAGGAGCAGAGACCAGTGTCCCTTTCCATGCTTGGCTCTGCTGGTGTCCACCAGGACCATTTTTAGGCCCAGTGCCGGGTGCAGGCTCCTGCAAAAGAGACAGCCGCAGACCAGCACAGTCCGCAGTGGGAGACGGAGTGCAGCCTCCTGAGAGCAGGAAGGTACTGACACCAGTTTAGCCTTGGCTGGGGGGTGGGAGGGGGTGGTCAGGGAAGGCTTCCTGGAGGAGGCGATGCCTCATCTCAAAGCGGCACAGGAGCTGCTAAGGGAGGCCGGAGTTGGAGGAGCTCATCACATCAGCCTTCCCCTACTGCTCCCCCCCAGGCCCTCCACCTCCCCAGCACTCCCTTTCCTGACCTCCTCTGCTCACATCCGCCCTCTCCTGCCACCCCCCTGCAGCCCGGATGGGGAGGGTGAGGAGGGAATGCAACCCCACAGGCTCTTATGGACAAGGACAAAGTGCTTGGAAGGAAAAGAAATAACACGAATTTCATTGTCTTCACTCCCAGATCCTGCCTGAAAAATGAAAACAAAATCCAACTCCAGCTGGGGCGGGTTTAGCTGGCAGAGCTTTCAACTAGAGGGACCCAAGGTGGACTTGGGCCCGGAGCCCTGTGGGCAGTCGAGAAGGCCGGCCCTGTCCCCGCAGCAGAGCCGTGGGCAAACACAGTCCCGGTGTGGGTGCTGCGGCGGGGCTGTGCCGCCCACAGTGACCCGGGGCTCCGTGCGTGTGGGTGCTGGTCCCCAGCCTTCTCTCCTGTTCCCGACAGCCCAGGGGCAGGGCGAGCCCCTTTCCGCACAAAACTGAGGGGCGTGGCCACCAGTCCCGGGTTACACAGCAGAGCTGGGACGGAACCTGGGGCTGCCTGACCCCAGAGCCCATTCGCTAGCCTGGCCCGGGCCACAGTTCACAGGGCTGCAGGAGCAGTTCATGAGGAGGAAAGGCAGGCAGGGGCACCCCTGGAGCTACCTTGCTCACACCTCCAGGGACGGGAAGCTCACTGCTCACAGTCAACCACTTCCATGCGTTTCCATCGTTAGAAGTGCCCACTGCTGCCTCCACCTCTGGCCTGGTCCCTAATCTCTGCCCAGGAGACTAGGAGGCTTGGAATGATGGGACAGGACTGGAGCCACAGCCCATGGGACACTTCAGCCCCCACATCCTCAAGCAGACTTTCCATAAAGAACCTTCCAGCCCCCAGTCAGGTTGGGATGGGGCGCTGTCTGCTCCACAAGTCCCCTGGAGCAGCCTCCTTGGTATAACCGCCTCCATGCCCAGGTGTCCGCGGGCAGCGCCCCTCCCTCCTCCCGCCTGGTCTTGTGCTGGCTCCCTTGGGCCTGGGCTTTGCCCCTGACACAGCCCCAGCTGAGACCAGTATCCGTGAAGGACACTTGGGGTGTGAAGCCAGGGCCTGCGCCAGCCAGCACCGTGCCTGGTCCCCGTGAGGGCCACACCTGGTCTGTCGGCCCTGGGAGGGCCCTAAATGGAAGTGGACATGGCAAGAGGACTGGGAAGGCCGCAGAAGGGGGAGGGTCTGGCCCCCTCCAGCACTATGGTGCCTTCAGGGGGTCCCTTGGGGTCCCTACTGGACCTCGGAGACCCCTGCTCCCCAAGCCAATCACAGCCCTGGGCACAATGTCAGCCCCTGTGGTTGCCAGGCTGATGGGGGCGTCCCCTCTGCCCACAGTGCTGCCAGGAGGGAGCAGCTAGGCCCGACAGAGGGACTCTGAAGCCCCAGGCACTGAGCTGTGGCTGCAGACGGAGGCCAGCCAGGCTGCCCACCCGCGCAGGGACCTGGGTGCCTCCTTCTTCCCACTTCCCTCTGGGTTTCACCTCAGCAGCCCCTGGTTGGGCCTTTTCCAGAGCCAGGGCCGGAAGCAGGAGCCCGAGTGTTTGCTCAGGCTGGGCTGCCTCAGGCAGGCGAGGCAGAAACAGCCCCAGACGCCTGTGCAAGTGGGGTCAGGCCCCTCCTGGGGAGGAAGGTGCAGGCTGGGGAGCAGGTCTGACTCAGCACATGGGCAGGCTCAGAGGATAAGGAATGGTGCCTGAAGGGCTGCTCGCACTTCCCTCCCCTGGGGCTCAGGCCCAAACCCATCCCCCTCCCCCACTCCCCTTCCTTTTCCAAGGTCACCCCCTCCCCTTGGAAATTGATCCTTGGGAAACCTGCTGGCTCCACCTCCCACACACCCTCCCCTCCCCTGCCCCACCACAGCCCCAGCTGCCGGGACACCCAGCAGTGTCCTCAGGGCTCCCTCACCCCTGCAGCCTGTCCTTGTCCTGGCGGCCCTGGGGTTCCTACTGTCCTCACTCAGGCCCGGTCCCTCTGGCCCAGCGCCCACCCAGGCCCCGCCGCCCGCCCTCAGCAGAAGCAGCCTGTCACGGCTGAACTGTGCCCCCAGCTCAAAACACCCCAGTAATGTGACTGTATCTGGAGACGGGGCCTTACAGGAGTGACTAAGTCAAAAGGAGGTGACTCGGGTGAGCACAGGAACAGATCGGGCACAGACGTGGGCACATCCGGGCCAGAACACGGCCGGGCGGCAGCCCGCTGCAAACCAAGCAGAGAAGCCTCGGAAGCAACCACCCCTGCGACACTGGCTCTTGGACTTCCAGGCTCCGGGACTGTGAGAAAACACATTTCTTGTTAAGCCACCAGGTCTGTGGTCTTTTGTTACGAAAGCCTAGCAAAGCAATACTCCGCCCTGACCCGGAGACGTCTCCAACGTGGGCTCTTTCTACGCCGCCATGTGCTCTCTGCTCCCTCGACACTGGCCTTCGGGCTGTGGCTTGTGCGCCGAGCGTGCCCCTGCGCCAGGACTTCAGGGCTCCGCACCACTGCTCCCTCCACCTGAGGTGCCTTCTCCCGGGTCCAGGCTGCTGCCTTCAGACCACTCAGGTCTCTCCTCAAATGTCCCTCTTCAAAGAGACCCTCCCTCCCTGACCAAAGCGCTCCTAAGGGTTATCCTCCATCTCTCCCACCGGACAGTGACCTTCCCCGGCTTAGGGGCCGTGTCCCTGTGCTGGAGCAGGCCCCGGCAGGCAGCAGGTGCACGACGAAGATCTGTCGAAGACAGGTAGGTGTCTGTCTTCGAGGTGATGACAGACTCCTGTCCTGTCATCACCTCCCCCATCTTCCAAACCCAGGCCACGGGGGCTTAGAGGCAGAGCAGGGCCCCAGGTACCCTGTGCTTTCAGGCGGTCCAGCCATGGGACCCACCTGCCTGCCAGGCTGCAGCCACCGTACCCTCGGCTGCCGCACAGCACCTGGCTTCTCTCCCCTCCCCCGCCCACCTGGCGATGATCCTCCCAGGCGCTCCTGATATGGGAGGGAGGCCGTGTGGCCTAGCAGGAGGACCAGGCTGAAACCCAGCCCCGTCACTGTTGACGTGGGGGCTCTGTGCCAGCTCCTATCCCCTCAGGGCTGGACATCTGGGGAGGACCTGAGCACAGGAAGGTTCCTGCATGCTCAGCCTGGGGCTGGTGGCCGGGGCGTCCGAGCCACCCTGTCTCGTGCAGGCTGGCTCTGGGCGGAGGCCCCTGCCTGCACCTCAGCATGGGCAGCAGGACGAGGAAGGGCTGGGAAGCCACCAGGCTCCCGGGGAGAGAGGGTGTCTCTGGCACTTGCTCTTTCCTTTCCCAACACTCTCGTGGGACAACTCCACTCCCACTTGAATGGCTAAAATAAAAAAGACAACACGAAGCCTCGGTGAGGACGTGGAGCAACAGGACTCTCCTACACTAGGGGTGGGGAGAGTGAAATGGTGCAGCCACTCTGGAAAACCATTTAGCAGTTTCTTTTAGAAAAGTTCCACATTGAGCCACCCAGCAATCCCACAGCGAGGTGCTACAGTGAGATGCAAACCCAGGCCCATATGAACCTGTACACGAATGTTTGTCAAAGCTCCAATCGCGATTGCCTAAACTGGAGAGAGCCAAGTTCCCTTGGCGGAGGAGCAGTAGGCAATGGAGGCACGTCCATACGGTGGGCTCCAGAGGACCAGCTGTTGTACACAAAACACCGTGGACGAATCGCAAAGCCACATTCAGAAGGCGCCACACAGTGTGATTCTGTTTATATGACATTCTGGAAGACGCAAAGCTATAGGGACAAGAAACAGTCAGTGGTTGTCAGGGGCTGGGGCTGGGTGCAGGAGACTGCGAAGGGGACCTAGTTTCCAGAAACTAGGGAAGTTTCTAGAAGCTGGGAATATTCCATGTCTTTTATTTTTTGCAGAGATGGGGTCTCACTATGTTGTTCGGACTGGTCTCAGTCGAACTCCTGAGCCCGTCTTGGGGACATTAGAGGCCTGAGCCACCACGCTGGCTGTCCGTGTTTTGTTCAGAGTTTGCAGAGTATAATCGTGTAAAAAGTCATCAGACTTCATATTTGAGATCTGTCCATTTCCCTTGATATGAATTATATCAATATCTCAATGAAGAAGAGTCTTTATTAAGGCACACCAGTCCCTGCACTAGCCAGCCTGTTCCAAGCCCCAAGGCAACAGCACCAGGACAGAGGTGGGTCACGGCGGACCCCTGGCCTCTAGGACAGCCAGGGTGGGATGCACCCAGGGCATGGGTGCTCCAGACACGACCCAGGGAGGGTACCTGGGCCTGGCCCAGGCTCCAGACTCCCCCGCCTCGTCTTATCGAGAAAGGCCTGAAAGGGGGCAGGAAAAGCCCCCTGTCTGTCCTGCTCTGCTCTGGCTCCACTTGCTGTCCCCGGGTCCATGGAGGTAGGAGACTCTGATGTGGGAGGGAGGTGAGGGGGCCCTTGGGTGGCGTGGCGGAGTCCTCCAGCCAGTGCGTGGGGGGCTCCGAGGCTGGCTTACCTGGGCTCAGGTCCTGGGCCTCGGCTGCCCCTGCTGTGCGGACCCCTGCCCCTTGGCCCTGGCCCTGTTCTGCAGGGTAGTGACTGGCCAGCATGCTTTCCTCTGGTCCCGCTCAACCTGCGCAGCAGGCAGCCCCCAGAGTGCAGGGCCACCGCAGTCCCCGCCTTTCCCCACCTTGGGGCCTCAAGCACCCCGGAAACTGCGGATGCCTTGGGAGGGGGCATTTTCTCGTGCACGGTCACTAGGAGCAACGCTGGGGACTAAAAGAACCATGTGCAACAGAGGGAAGGGCCTGAGAAAGGGTGCAATGTTTTAAAAATTTTCTCTTGAAAATCACCCCCACTCTTTTTGAGAACTAAAACCTGCATTCCTGCCCAAGGCCAGTGATCAGAGGGCAGGGCAGTGCCCTTTGTTCTTGGTACCACAGGAGAACGCTCAAGGGATTTGTCTGGTTGGTTGGATGTCTCGATTTCTCACTGTGACAGAGATGGGACAGATCAGGACCAACAGCTATAATTAAACAGCAATAGCCTGAAGCGCTCCGTTCAAAAGCTCTGTATTTCTGCTTCCAGATAGGAAAATGATACACCCCCTCATCTGCCAGCAAATTAATAAACCTCCCTTTCCGTCTCCTAAAACCACTTGTCCTCGTTCTTCTGGTGGGGCTCTGGGGACAAGCGCAGAACTCTCGGTAACACAAGGACAAACACTCCTGCCCTTGCCAAAGACCCCGCTCTGTGCCAGGCACTGGGACACACCGGGAAGCAGGTGGCCAGGTGGTCCTCGGGAGCCCCATGCCAGAGGGGGAAGGGGCAAGTCAATGGCAGTCACTGAATGTTCGGTGGCACAGATGGGGAGACCAGTGCGGGGAGAGCTCGTGTCCCTTGAAGTCTCTCTGGGAGGTGACGCCCTGAGGAATCGCAGGGTGAAGAGGCGGCCCTGTGGGGAGCCGGGGCAGAGGAGGCGCGGGTGCTGCGCTCCGGGGTTTGAGGCCAGTGGGTGGAGGCCCGGGGCAAGCGGGCGCGAGGTCCGAGAGCGGCCTGGGGGAGGCCACAGGAGAAGGCCGGGGCCACATTCGAGAGTCAGCGGTGGGCTTGCACCAGCTGCTTGCTGGGAGAAAAGGAAGTCAGCAAGGCTTTGGCTCTAGTCATGCTCCTTCACTTACGTCTCGGGGCCTCAGTTTCCCTTGTGGAAAGCATCTGGGTTGGAGGCTCTGAAATTTGGGCTCATCTCAAACCAAGATTACTATGACTTCACTTTGGTTGTACAAGAAATGGGTCTGCAGTGGCTCAAAGATGCAGACAGACCCAGTGTGGAGGGAAACGGGACTGGCACAGGCAGGGACACCCAGGGACTCAGAGCTTCCGCCCCAGGCTCGGAGTTGCAAGGTCTCAGACATGAAAGGGGGCGTGTCCCAAAGAAGCCACCAGGAGGCGACAGAGACCAGCGTTTCTTATTGTCTGGAAATAATAATTTTCAAGTTACAGAAAAGTTGTGAGAATAGTACCAAGAACTCCTGGATCCCCTTCTCGACTCAAATTCACCAAGTTTGGACACCTGCTCCCCACCCTTGCATATTTGAGCCTCCTCCAAGCATTGGACAGTAAGCCGCAGACGTGATGCCCTGAACCCTACGCCCCCTGGCGTGTGCGTCCCAGGAGCAGCAGAGTCTGCGAGAGCGAGCGACTTGCCCCTAATGCCATGCTATTCTGTAATCTGCAAACCTTACTCAAATGTTGCCAGTTGTCCCAACCGGGTCTGTTAGAGCATCCTCCGACCCCTTCCGGTCAGGGTCTACTCCAGGATCACGTTCAGTTGTTCACCTTAATTTTAATTGCAGTTTATTCACTCAGCTTTCTCTGGCTGAAGTCATTTGACAAAGATGGACATGATGGGCCATAGCCTCCTCCTTCTTAACGGCATGACCCTGGGCAGGCCCCAGGTCGCCCCAGGTCCCCCCAGCGAGAAGGGGCAGGACCTGGCCAGGCCACGTGGGCGGAGCGGGCGGGGGCAGAGGACGCGCCCAAATCCACCCTTCCTGGCGGACCGTCTCCCCAGGCCTCGGCCATCCTGACTCACCTGTCACTTCAAATGCAGCGTCAAAGTTGCCCCTATGGGCACCCACTTCTTGAGAAACAGCTCTGGGAGAGGAAAGCAAACATGTCCCCATCCTGAGACAGACAAAAACCAGCTATAAGTCTTGCAGAGGGCCTGGAGAGGGAGAAGGGCTGAAGACTGTGATTATGGTCACAGAAAACTTAAAAGTTTTGACATTTCAGTTTACATCCATAGTCTTTGCTGTGGAGAAGTAGGATGGGGTGACCAATAAGAGACTTGGCATGACAATACATTACACTGGGCTCAAACTTCACAAGGACAGTGGAGATGAATACAAGTTTCAGAGAGAAAGAAAATGAGGTGAAACTTCACGAAAGCAGCAGCGCTTGTGCGTGTAGTTTTTATACTGGAAGTGGTGCGCATCCAACTGCTGTGATCTGCAGATGCCACTGAAGTATCACACAAGAGATGGAACCGTTAATTTTTTTTAATCCTTTTTTTTTGGCATATTATGGGGGTACAGATTTTAAGGTTTCAATAAATGCCCATTTCCCCCTCCCCCCACAAGTCTGAGTCTCCAGCATGACCATCCCCCAGATGGTGCACATCTCACTCATTATGTATGTATATACCCGCCCCCC